GAAGATCTGTCTAACAACTTACTGAGACACTTTATCAAACATTCATCATTATAATCGCCTGAGTTCCCACCCCACCGACAACAACCTCCTTGATCTCCTACAGTCTGGCTTCCATCCCCTACACTCCACCGAAACCGCCCGACTCAAACTCTCCAATGACCTGCTTACCGCCAAAACTAATGGCCACTATTCAGTGCTCCTACTCCTCAACCTCTCTGCGGCTTTCGACACTGTTGACCATCCCCTCCTCAAAAAACTACACTCTCTTGGCCTCAGAGACTCTTCTCTCTCCCTGGCTCTCTTCTTATCTATCACAGCACTCCTTCAGTGTTACCTATAACACTGCCACCTCCTCTTCACTCCCCCTCTCTGTTGGGATCCCTCAAGGTTCTGTCCTCGGGCACCTTCTCTTCTCCATCTACACCTCCTCCCTTGGCCAATTGATACACTCTCACGGCTTCAACTACCATCTCTATGCCGACATCACGCAATTGTGTCTCTCTACCCCTCACCCCTTCAGTCTCCGCCTGTATCACAAGCCTACTGAGCGACATGTCGGATTGGATGTCACTCCACTTCGTTAAACGAAATCTTTCCAAAACTGAGCTCCTAGTTTTCCCCCCCAGCCCGTGCTCCTCCCCCCCCCCCCGACTTCTCCATCATGACCAACAACGCCACCATCAGTCTCACCCCGCAGGCCAGAATACTAGGTGTCATTCTAGACTCCAATCTGTCATTCCAGCCCCAGGTCCAATCGCTGACAAACTCATGCAGACTCCACCTCCGCAACATCTCCAAAATACGATCATTCCTAACCCCAGAAACCACTAAGCATCTCATCCACTCCCTCATTATATCACACCTCGACTACTGTAACTCCCTCCTCATCGGCTTACCTCATCGCAGGCTATCCCCGCTTCAGTCTATCATGAATGCTGCGGCCAGACTCATCCACCTTACTAACCGCTCCGTATCCACCACCCCCCTCTGCCAATCCCTCCACTGGCTTCCAATTGCCCATCAGATAAAATTCAAAATGCTAACATTGACGTATAAAGGTGTTCATAATACTGCCCCAAACTACATCACCGATCTGGTATCCAAATACCACCCAAAACGTACTCTCCGCTCCTCACAAGACCTCCTACTCTCTAGCTCCCTGGTCTCCTCCTCCCATGCTTGTCTCCAGGACTTCCCTCATCCTCTGGAACTCCCTACCCCAATCCATCAGACTATCGCCTACTCTGTTCACCTTTAGGCGCACTCTGAAAACCTATCTCTTCAGGGAAGCCTACCTCACTGTCAACTAATTACTGACCTCCTCCACTCTTCCTACCACTCCATCCCCCACAGCTATTTCCTCCTGTACCACCATCCCCTCCCTCCTAGATTGTAAGCTCCAAGGAGCAGGGCCCTCGTACCCCTCGTGTATTGAATCGTATTGTTACTGTACTGTCTTGTGTACTGTCTCCACCCATAATGTAAAGCGCTGAGCAAACTGTCGGCGCTATATAAATCCTGTATAATAATAATCATTACTCAGCAGTCTTTTAAAACTTACAAAAACATCATTTAAAAAGCCTTTTTAGCATCATAAGCCATTTTTGCTGCTAATGGAATATGATTTTTTATATATCTATATATCAGCTTATCAAAATATGCTAGCAATAATAACCATGTCTAATACAATAGACCTGAATCTAAGACACAAATATATACAGTGAGGAACAGAAGTATTTGAACCCCCCTGTGATTTTGCAAGTTCTCCCACTTAAAAATCATGGAGGGGTCTGACATTCACATTGTAGGTGCATTCCCACTCTGAGAGACAGAATAAAAAAAAAACAATTCAGGAAATCGCATTGTATGATTTGTAAAGAATGTATTTGTCTCGCACTGCTGAACAGAAGTATTTGAACACCTAAGAAACAGCAAGAATTCTGGCTCTCAAAGACCTGTTACTGTGCCTTTAAAAAGTCCACCTCTACTCCACTCATTCATCTCACTTAGTAGCACCTGTCTGAGCTCTTTAAAGACACCTGTCCACCCCACAGTCAGTCAGACGCCAACTACTACCATGGGCAAGACCATAGACACCAGAGACAAAATTGTGGACCTCCACAAGGCTGGAAAGGGCGACAGGGCAATTGCCAAGCAGCTTGGTGAAAATAGATCAACTGTTGGAGCAATTGTTAGAAAATGGAAGAGGCTAAAGAGGACTGTCAGTCTCCCTCGGACTGGGGCTCCCATGCAAGATGTCCCCTCGTGGGGTATCACTGATGATAAGAAAGGTGAGGAATCAGCCCAGAACTACAAGGGAGGAGCTGGTCAATGACACGAAGAGAGCTGGGACCACAGTTTCACAGGTCACTGTCGGTAGAACACAACGCCGTCATGGTTTCAAATCATGCATTGCACGGAAGGTTCCCCATGTCATCACATGTCCAGGCCCGTCTGAAATTTGCCAATGACCATCTGGATGATCCAGAGGAGGCATGGGAGAAAGTCATGTGGTCAGATGAGACAAAAGTAGAACTTTTTGGTCTAAACTTCACTCGTCGTGTTTGGAGGAAAAAGAAGGATGAGTTGCATCCCAAGAACACCATCCCTACTGTGAAGCATGGGGGTGGTAACATCATGCTTTGGGGGTGCTTTTCTGTGAAGGGGACAGGACGACTGCACTATATTAGGGAGAGGATGAATGGGGCCATTTTATTGAGATTTTGAGCAACAACCTCCTTCCCTCAGTCAGAGCATTAAGATGGGTCGTGGCTGGGTCTTCCAACATGACAACGACCCAAAGCACACAGCCAGGAGAACCAAGGAGTGGCTCCGTAAGAAGCATATCAAGGTTCTGGAGTGGCCTAGCCAGTCTCCAGACCTAAATCCAATAGAACATCTTTGGAGGGAGCTGAAACTCCGTGTTGCTCAGCGACAGCCCCGAAACCTGACAGATCTAGAGGAGATCGATGTGGAGGAGTCGGCCAAAATCCCTGTTGCAGTGCAAACCTGGTCAAGGACTACAGGAAACGTCTGACCTCTGTAATTGCAAACAAAGGATTCTGTACCAAATATTAACACGGATCTTCTCAGGGGTTCAAATACTTCTGTTCAGCCGTGCGAGACAAATACATTCTTTACAAATCATACAATGGGATTTCCTGAATTTGTTTTTTAATTCTGTCTCTCAGAGTGGGAATGCACCTACAATGTGAATTTCAGACCCTCCATGATTTCTAAGTGGGAGAACTTGCAAAAATCGCAGGGTGTTCAAATACTTCTGTTCCTCACTGTATATGTATTAGCTGATTTAAACACTCATTATTATTATTATTATTATTATTTCATTATAATATATTATGATGTAGGATATAGTAAGGATCACCTCTATCCCTATACAATAGGTTCATCACTTAAGGAACAGTTGTTTGCAGCAATATGACCTAATGCATGGCAACTATAACACTTTATAGGTGCTGCACCCAGACCTCTAAACAGCCTCACGGACCTTCCTGACCTATTTGGCCAGTCTCCAGGTTCTGAGCCCACAGTCTCATTATCTGAAACAATAGTCCTGTAATTTTTTCCCTGAGCTTTTCACCTCTGGAACAGTCTTACCGGATCCTCTGGGCAGTTTTTCACCCCTAGCAACATTGGGGTGGGGCACAGATGAGTGCAACAGCGGCTGTATATCTCTCCACTAGGTCCACCAGCTTGTTTGCAGACTTAGGGTCTCCATGGCTGACCCACTTCCTCAAGGTGGCAAGGACCGCACGTAAATACCGGTCCATGAACCCACGCTCCACAACCTGAGGGGCTGACAACACCTCTCTGGCTGGAGCCACTTTCTGGTGAGATGTATCAAGTCAAACATCTGGGACTGGGGTGGCTTGTCAGTACTGTAATACCACTGAAGCACCCGTTGAGCCCAGACTGCAATGGTGACGCCTAGGCATGCAAGGACCGCAGCCTTCAGCTTCTCATAATCCTGGGCAGCATCTGGTTCCAGGTCATAATTGGCTTCTTGGGGTTCACCTGTCAAAAATGGAGCAAGCAGTCCCACCCATTGCTCTTTTTGCCATCCTTCCTGAACAGCAACGCTATCAAAAGTTGTGAGGTAGGCTTCCACATCATCTGCAGGTATCAACTTTTGCAGAAAATAGCTGGCCCGCACTATTTTCTGTTCCACTGGCAGCGGACTCCTTTAATTGCACTAGGTGTTGGGCCAGCTCCTTAAGGAGCTCTCGGTCTTCTTGATGGGCCTCCACAAACTGGCGATTTGCCTCTGCGAACTGGCGATTGGTTTCCTGCTGGGTTGCAGTGTCCTGCAGCAAGGTTCTTATCCCCTCTTCCATCTTCCCATTTGCTCAGGAAGTCGCTCATCAAATCCACCATATGTGAGGGTAGCTCAGGTGGGGGATTACCTTCCCTTGGAAAAAGGTAGTCCAGACAGCAGGGCTTTCTTAAAATCTGACTTGTCATCAGTTTTATTTACAAGGTTGCAAGCATCACTAACTAAACATAGGAGATTCCTATCTCTACAGTGAAGGGCTTCTCCCTGTCACCAACAAAATCAAAACCGTATGCAAACCTTTTCCTTTCTTGTACAAATGCACTCTTTCATCCATAGCTCACTCCGATATGACTTCGAGTCCCAAGCCAAAAGCAACTTCTTGCTCCAGTCCTGCCTGATTTATACCACCTGCTGGTGGTCATCAGTGGACCACAAAATCCGGTCCGGAAACCACCTCTGCCATAGTAGCCCGGAAAAACCTGGAGTGGACTCCACCTTAATCTCGCATATGATCGCATGCGAGGTGACAGTGTCCATCGATCACCTCGCCTTTGATAGTGTCACAACATACATACACACTATATTGCCAAAATTATTGGGATGCCCGCCTTTACACACACTTGATCTTTAACCACTCGGTAATGACGGCTACAGCGCGGTTACCCAGTTCTGGGAGAGCGTCATATGACGTCCTTCCAGAACGCACCCTCAGAGGCGCGCACCCCGGCGATCTCCAGCCAATCACAGCGGCCTTTTACCACGTGATCAGCTGTGTCCAATGACACAGCAGCTATTGACTGTGCAGACAGTTGGCGACTTCTGCGCACTGTGCGCTTCAGCATGCGCTGACCCCCCCGCCCTGTCATGTGACGTGGCCTACCACTTGGTGGCTGAGTGGCTGTTGTTCCCAGTTGCTTCCACTTTGTTATAATCCCACTAACAGTTGAGCGTGGAATATTTAGTAACCAGGAAATGTCACGGATGGACTTATTGCCCAGGTGGCCACCTATCACGGGACCACGCTTGGAGCCACTGAGCTCCTGAGAGCGACCCATTCTTTCACCAATGTTTGTAGAAGCAGTCTGCATGCCTATGGGCTGGATTGTATACACCTGTCCATGGCGGGGATTGGAGCACCTGAATCACATGATTGGGAGGGGATTGGAACACCTGAATCACATGATTTGAAGGGCAGGGCCAATACTTTTGGCAATACAGTGTGTATATATATTTTTGTTTTACATGCTATCACCAGTCAGTGTCCCTGATCACTATCACACCAGTCATATGATGAAATTACATACTGTCACCAGAGCAGTACAAACAAAATTTGTGAAAAAATTTTATTTTACCACTTGCCCTCCTGAGGATTCCCTCCTTCCTGACCGGCCATTTTTTGTGATACGGCGCTGCGTTACTTTAACAGACAATTGTACAGTCATGCAAATGAAATTTACGTCTTTTTTTTTTTTTCCCACGAATTGAGATTTCTTTCGGTGGTATTTGACCGCCGGTGCGTTTTTTTAATTTTTTGCGCTATAGAAAAAAAAGTGACAATTTTGAGAAAAAAAAAAATATTTTGGACTTTTTGCTATTAAACACGTCCGGTAAAAAATTTTTAAAAATCAAATTTTTGGACCAAAATGTATTCTGCTCCGTGTCTTTCCTAAAACAAATCCCAGTACGTGTAAATTAATTGGTTTACGTGAAAGTTATAGCGTTTACAAATGGCGGTATAGATACTGGGATTTTTTTTTTTAATATTTACTAGTAATGGTGGCGATCAGTGAGTTTTAGCGGGACTGCGGTGGACATTCTGACACTGGGGGGAACTGACTTGGTGTCACTGACATCCCCAGTGACACCAATACAGTGATCAGTGCTAAAAAAAAAGCACTGACACTGTACTAATGGCACTGGGCAGGAAGGGGTTAACATGAGAGGCGATCAAAGGGTTACCTGTGTGCTGGGAGTGTTTTACTAGGGGGCGGGTCTGGTGCTTCACTGTAAGCTCACTGCTTTGGATGGCTGTGCTGTGCAGTGTGCCTGAGCTGACAAGGAAGAGAACTGAGAAACTCAAAATTGAGAAAAGAATCTATAAACCGTCCAACATCTTCCAAACCTTCAATGAATGTCCCCCCCAGGCGGCTCTCACATCATATCCCAATGGGTTACCAGTCCAAATGATTGTGATCTGTGCTGCCACATACAGATGATTCCTGGAAACATAGAAGAGTGATAGCAGGGAAAGACCGAGTGGTACATCGAGGCTGGGGCTTTTTTTTACATTTTTTGTTTGGGGGTGGGGGGTGTTTTTTTTTTCTAACTTTTTTATCCAAGAACAGATTCCTGTCCTGATAGCCCACTGACACTGAGGGTAAGTAAATTTAATCTGACTGCTACCACCTCGAACCATCACTACAATAACTTCCAATGGTACTAAATTACATCAGTTTATCTCCAAATCTGCCAGGAAATCCCAACTGCACAGAGCCAGAGCCTCACAGGATACAGAACGCAAAATGAAGCTTACTAAGTCTCTTAACTTGGCTCGCTGACAAATCACAGTCTGCTTTCAGTTTTGTTTTGTAATTTTGTATCCCTATATAAACAGACTGCATCACCCTCACTTGTGAGCATCATCCCTGCTGACCACTCACCAGATCCAATTTTATCCACTCAACTGCCTTCGGTGGACACATCAGCCATGGAGACCACACACCTTCTTCTTTCTTGAGACCAAAGCCTTGAAGAGCAGCAGCCCCAATACCTACCGCTCCAGGATCCTGTGCATCCCAGGTTAGTTTTGTGTTGTCTGGCTTGTATGTAAAAACAAACATAAAACGACTCACTTGGTCTCCATGCACACTGGTGTTTTTTTAAGCTCCTGTTATCAGCATTTTTATTTCTGCTCCTGGAAGCTAAGCAGTGTCTCCTGTGTGTCCATGCTGCTACTTTAGGCTATTACCATTTTTTCAGCGTCTAGGAGCAGAGAAAAAAAAATTGTTTTTGCAGTGTTTTTCCAGCAGAAAAAAAAGCTAAACACTACTACAATGCTCGTAACTTCTTTTTTCTAGGTTTTGTTCTACATGTACTGTAAAAATGCTAATAAAATGCTAACACTGCTAAAAAAAAAGCCATTACCAGTGTTTTTCCAGCATTTAGGTTAAAAAAAATGCTAGCGTGCATTGCAGTGAAGCACACCCCCCGCCCCCTAGCAAAACACTCCCATCACACAGTTAACCCTTTGATTGCCCGCAAATGTTAACCCCTTCCTGCCCATTAGCACAGTGTCAGTGCTTTTTTTTTTTTTTTAGCACTGGTCACTGTGTTGGTGTCACTGGGGAGTCCACGACACCAAGTCAGTCCCCCCCCCCCAGTGTCAGAATACCCGCTATGAGTATTAAAAAACAAATATAAATCACAAGATGCAGCGCTATAAACTAAAACATATATGCATGAATCAAAGAATCAGTCATAAATGACTGAACAGTTAAAAGTTCATATAATAGGTGACTTTAGTGCTCTCTTCTACTTCATATCCTCCTGGTGGTCAGGCGTTTGTGCAAAATAGTGCTAAAGAAGTGCACACTCACCAGAACGCACAAGTATATGAGCGTTTAATATAGATTCCCCTTTAGGATCATCAACTGGACACGATGTGATATTAAGACCACCTCCTTCCAGAGCTCCTAGATGTTCCTGTATAATCCCTTGTTAGGTGATCCGCGGACTTCTCCTTAGGATCGGTATACGATTCGTACCCCGCAAAGAGATGGGTGACTAAAATGGGTACTCCCCAAGGGAGTCAGAACAAAACGCATCCATAGTGTAGTAGGTCATTTAAAAGAATTTATTAAAAGCTCAACAATCCGTGTACACGGTAGTATATAGACAATATGGACTAACCGTCCAGTGATAAAGATGACCACCGGAGCTCCACGATGCTCCGGCGGTATGACGTCACGGCGTTCCTGGCTCCTCCTACGCGTTTCGTGCACACGCACGTCGTCTGGGGGGATATGCCCCCCAGACGACGTCATACCGCCGGAGCATCGTGGAGCTCCGGCGGTCATCTCTATCACTGGACGGTTAGTCCATATTGTCTATATACTACCGTGTACACGGATTGTTGAGCTTTTAATAAATTCTTTTAAATGACCTACTACACTATGGATGCGTTTTGTTCTGACTCCCTTGGGGAGTACCCATTTTAGTCACCCATCTCTTTGCGGGGTACGAATCGTATACCGATCCTAAGGAGAAGTCCGCGGATCACCTAACAAGGGATTATACAGGAACATCTAGGAGCTCTGGAAGGAGGTGGTCTTAATATCACATCGTGTCCAGTTGATGATCCTAAAGGGGAATCTATATTAAACGCTCATATACTTGTGCGTTCTGGTGAGTGTGCACTTCTTTAGCACTATTTTGCACAAACGCCTGACCACCAGGAGGATATGAAGTAGAAGAGAGCACTAAAGTCACCTATTATATGAACTTTTAACTGTTCAGTCATTTATGACTGATTCTTTGATTCATGCATATATGTTTTAGTTTATAGCGCTGCATCTTGTGATTTATATTGTTTTGAGGGTGTATGGTACCTAATGTTCAGCTGCTATCTCATAGATGCGCTCGTATTTATTCTTTTTGATTTGATTAAAAAACAAATCCCAGTATGTATAGCGCCATTTGTAAACTTTCACGTAAACCAATTAATTTACACGTATTGGGATTATTTTTAGCAAAGACACGGAGCAGAATACATTTTGGCAGAAATTTATGACTAAATTTGATTTTTAAATTCTCTTACTGGAAGTGTTTAATAGCAAAAAGACCAAAACGTTGTTTTTTTTTCCTCAAAATTGTCAGTCTTTTTTTTTTTTTTATAGCACAGGTGATCAAATACCACCAAAAGAAAGCTCTATTCATGGGTAAAGGATGTAAATTTCATTTGGGTGCAGAGTTGCATGACCGCGCAATTGTCAGTTAAAGTAACGCAGCGCCATAATGCAAAGTGCTTCTTTAACTGCTTCCTGACCGCCCTATAGCAGAAATACTGCAATAGGGCGGCACGGGTTTCACGCCCCTCCCAGATAGCGGCAGATTGCCCATTAGTACACCAGTAATCACATTTAACCCTTTGATTGCCAGGAAGACGCTCATACACAATAAACCTCCATTGCTAGTATAGTGTCTGAACAGATCAATATCTTTGAACTGGCGACCACCAGTAGCCTAGTACATCCTGGTCTTTCACATACCAGCCCTGCAGTATGACTTGGTGGCGTGGGCGAGTCCCATAAGTGTAGTACAAGCTGGTGTGGTGGCGAGCACAAGTATTGTCCCTCAACCACCAAGAATTTGCACACAGGCCCATAGAGCCCCTAGTATCTTTCTGGATGTGCTTGTAAATCCTGATTGACAGCCCACAAATTTTGCAGCACCCGTACGTCCCCCATTCATTGCCCAACCCGGAATTCAGGTGGAAACAGCAAATTTACCTACTCGATTGATATTTTTTTTTTTTGGAGCTCTTTTTCACGGAATATCTGTATGCGTTGATTGTGGATCAAAGCAATTTATATGCACAACAATTTATCGCCGCCAACCCAATTTCAAACCTTGCCAGACCATTCACATGGAAACCCATTACAGTTTCCGAATTTACTTTTTTTTTTGGGGCCTAACCCTCAACATGGGCATTACTACAAGAAATGAATTGCGGTTGTATTGGTCCACAGACCCGATTCATCATATGCCGTGTTCTCTGCTGCCATGGCCAGGAATAGATATGAGACTATAATGTGTTTTATGCATTTCAATGACAATACACTCTGTTGTCCTCGGGCTGACACTGAATTTGACTGGTTCCACAAAATTCAGCCCCTCGTAAATCACCTTAACCAAAAATTTGCAGAGGTCTATACTCCCCAGCAAAAAAATCTGCATTGATGAGTTCCTCATTAATTTTTTTTCTTTTCTTTTTTTTTTTTTTTTCTCTTTTTTTCTCTCTTTTTTTTCTTTTCTTTTTTTTTTTTTTCTCTTCCTTTTTCTTTTTTTTTTTTTCCCTTTTTTCTCTCTTTTCCTCTTTCCCTTTTCCTTTCTTTTTTTTTCCTTTTCCCTTTCTTTTTCTCCCTTCTTTTCTCTTCTTTTCTTTCTTTTTTTTTTCCTCTTTTCTTTTTCTTTTTTTTTTTTTTTCTTTTTTCTCTCCTTTTTTGTT